TAAAGCTTGAAAATCAGACAGAGCTGTGAAATACTATCAGATAAAGCTTGAAAATCAGACAGAGCTGTGAAATACTATCAGATAAAGCTTGAAAATCAGACAGAGCTGTGAAATACTATCAGATAAAGCTTGAAAATCAGACAGAGCTGTGAAATACTATCAGATAAAGCTTGAAAATCAGACAGAACTATGAAATACTATCAGCTAAAGCTTGAAAATCAGACAGAGCTGTGAAATACGTAGTTGGGAGGGCTCCTGATGAGTGTTAAGCTCTAACTCATTCACCCCTGAAGACACAACTGAACTCTTCCAATTGAAAAAATGCAATAGTTCATTATTAAATTTCAGAGGTGAACAAGTTAAAACAATGTATGTATTGATGTTTGTAAATACAGCAAAATCTCTTTGAATAGGGTATACATTGTCTATACATATTGGTGTAGTACCCCGATAATCATTTTTGTTTCTGGTTACCGTGGTGATGAACTGTAGTCATGGTATGTAGTGCATGTACATTATTACTAATTATATATGGCTGTTGTGATACATTTGTGTACCCCGATTCCATCTGATTACTTGGAATCTGCAAAATCAATCGGAGAGCTATTTATCCACGTGAGAATTCATTGTTTCTGTCAGATTTTTTTGCTCACCTTGTCCAAAGGGCCTAATGAAATGTTACATAATACAAATATTACAAAAAGCAATCATGACCTTGACCCATATTTAAGGTCAGAGGGTAAAATCCATTGATCAGAAGTGAAACACATAATTACTGCTTATTCATGTATACCAATTCACTCATTTATTGTTACGTTGTAACAATTTTCAAAAATATTGTTAGGTGTTTTTCAGTGATTAGACAGTGGATTAGTGGTCAGTATTACCCAAAGCATTCTACCCTAAAACTGTGTCATAACTGTATATCTATACTACTTTTATTTCAGAATTCCAAGAGAACACTTCGCTCCAACGAAATATGCATGCCGAGTTCAGGTCTCCTGGACGTGGAATTAGACCTTGCCTTTTCTCTACAGGTAAGTCCCCAAGATCATTATTTTGACTCTCACAATGTTCATATAGATTAGCAAAACTTTGTTATTTGCAAGAGTTATACCATTGTGGTACATTTGGATTTAAACGATGCTTGTCTAATGTTGCCATGACAACTGATCTTACTGACAACATCAAGAGGAACTGATCATGAACCTTTTGATATGACAAGGTGTTGGTACAGTCAGGCTCAAGTATGCCTACTACCAACACCTAGTGTTATATACAGGTTACCCTGGTGGCCTAGTTGTCAGGCTCATGTACCCATACTACCAACACCTAGTGTTATATGCAGTTTACCCTGGTGGCGTAGTTGTCAGGCTCAAGTACCCATACTACCAACACCTAGTGTTATATATATATAGTGTTATATACAGGTTACCCTGGTGGCCTAGTTGTGCAATTTTGCTTTTGTTTGTGAGTATACGTAGGAGGAACAAATATGGATGTCGGGCAGCCATGTTGGATTTCATGATCAAAGTTTGTTATCTGTGATTCACCTTGTCCAATACCACATTGGTCCATGGTCAAGGTCAACTTCCATATTTTATGTACGTATTGATTCAAATATAGTATCTTTTTTTTACAATTAAAATTGACATAGAGGCAAGTAATTGTCTGCATCCATCATGTATCCTATTTCTTTCTATTAAATAGCATCTCAACATAGAGGGTTGAAATATAAGCATCTGAAATCATATCTTTGTTCCATATACTTAGGTTAAGGTCACATGGTTCAAATGAAAATAATAATTGCATAATGTTATGAAGTAATATTGTTGATACATGAGTAAAGTACCTTAGATTTGGACAAGGTCATGGTGAAAAAGTCAGCCATGAATTCAAAGGTCAAATCAAATTGAATTTCTTCTTAATGGGCAGTGTTACATTTAATATTATTATCCCCTCACAACGAAAGTTTGAAGGGAGATATGATTCCGCCCGTACATTGTTCATTCCTCATTGTTCATTCCTCAATGGAATTTCATGAACTTCATATAAGTGTTGGTATGGCAATGCCTTGAACAAGTTTGTGTTTCAGGTTTCTGCATTAAAGGTCAAGATTACTTTTCCTAATTTTTACAAAATCTTTGTCATCGCTCTCCCAACTTCATTCCTCAATGGAATTTCATGAAACTTTATACAAGTGTTTGGTATGGCAATGCCTTGAACAACTTCTCCTTTCAGGTTTCTAAGTTGAAGGTCAATGTCACTGTTACTATTTTTAGAAAAAAAAATATCATCGCTCCAGTGACCTCATTTCCTCTTACATATGTTACAATGTGTGAATGCAAGGGGATTTGTATCACTTGTGATGCCTGGTCTATAGATTTGTATCACTTGTGATGCCTGGTTTATAGATTTGTATCACTTGTGATGCCTGGTTTGTAGATTTGTATCACTTGTGATGCCTGGTTTATAGATTTGTATTACTTGTGGTGCCTGGTTTGTAGATTTGTATCACATGTGATGCCTGGTTTATAGATTCGTATCACTTGTGATGCCTAGTCTATAGATTTGTATCACTTGTGTTGCCTGGTTTATAGATTTGTATTACTTGTGATGCCTGGTTTATAGATTTGTATCACTTGTGATGCCTGGTCTATAGATATGTATCACTTGTGTTGCCTGGTTTATAGATTTGTATCACTTGTGATGCCTGGTCTATAGATTTGTATCACTTGTGATGCCTGGTTTATAGATTTGTATTACTTGTGATGCCTGGTTTATAGATATGTATCACTTGTGATGCCTGGTCTATAGATTTGTATCACTTGTGGTGCCTGGTTTATAGATATGTATTACTTGTGATGCCTGGTCTATAGATTTGTATCACTTGTGATGCCTGGTCTATAGATTTGTGTCACTTGTGATGCCTGGTCTATAGATTTGTATTACTTGTGATGCCTGGTTTATAATGACGCAATACTGTTGGGAATGGTAGCATTTAAATTTGCTCCTTGGCAGTGGTCAAGGTCAGACAGTGAAATTTGCTCCTTGGCAGTGGTCAAGGTCAGACAGTGACATTGTATTGGAAGGATTTACACCAGATGTTGTTTGCTGTTGGTCAAGGTAAATAGTAAATGTCACCAAGCTTTAATACAGGTATCTTACTGGTAAACAATGCAGAGCATCAGTATGAAGTTATAGTGTTAAATTGATGCAGGATCGGCTTTTAATCTAGGCCCAAAGTGCCATGATGAAAGGTTGTGGCTAGTAAGTTAAGAGTGAAGATTTAAAAAGGCCATCACAGGTACAAAATTAACGCCCCAGGTATCAAAGATTTAAAACCTGACCCATACCCAGGTATACAAAATATATAAAGCATACACAACACATGTACATTGCTGTTCAGGGTCTGTATCATGAAAAAGACAATAATTTCCACTGACTATGACTTTACCCCACTGATGGAGGTATTCATTTCTTTCCTTTGAATTAATCAGTCGTTTTATGATTAAAAAGATATATGTTAAACCCTTGTATGTAAGTCACTAGTTGCAGTATTTTTGTTTTGTACTACACTCTGATCATCTTGTTTGTACGTTATACATTAACTGCACATGTGCAACCGTAAGTAAGGCAGTTTTATTTCAGACTTGTGTTTGGTGCTTCACATTGGCATGCCTGACAGCAACAAAATCAAACCACAGGACCCTATTAAGCCTGAAACCAACATAATCTCATTTATTTTAGTCTTGCCCAAGCCTTTTTATCACATATACATCTCCCACATGAATAGAAACTTTTTGAGGAGAAACACAGCTGTGAGAAAACAAAAATAACAATGTTTTGCTTTTGAACATGTAATAAAAACATACAATGTCATCTAAAAACAAAATAATAATAATAATATTTTGAGGTTCTTTTATACCGCTTTATCACAACTTAGTTCGTAGGTTAGGTCGTCTCAAAGCGGTTCATAAATTATTATCTGTGGTTATGAATTATGGCCTTTGCAACCAGCCAATATCTTTCTCAACTCCCTGGGGAGCATACAGCCGGTGCTGCCATTTCGGCACTCACAGCTAGCATTCTACAATTGGAGCACTGCCCAACCATGTACTCATTTACAGCTGAGTAGACTGGAACAAGCAGAGTAAAGTATCTTGCTCAATGATAAATATGTACAACACAGTGCCGTGCCGTGACTCGAACCCGCAACCCTTCAGTCACGAGTCCAGCATCCTTCCACTGGACTACAATGCCTCCTGAATGTGTCTGGAACAGTGTTTGAATACTCACGACCACCCTTAAACTCAATATCTGCTTAAAGGCGACATGGCGTAAGAATACTGTAAAACAGTTTTTGTAGGGATTGACCCAAACTGGTCATTGTTGGGGATAGCTGGTCCAATTCTTCATTCCTTTTCAGTAAAACTTTTGATTAAAACAACTTTGACGATACCCATTAAGAAAAGTGATAGTCTTTTTGTGTCTCTGATGATGATACCCATTATAGATAGTAAGTTAGCCTGAGAGATTTATTGTAATCCAATAATTGGTGTCACGTTATATTGAACCATGCCATAATTCTATAAAATGATTTAAATGTAAAATGACATATTTTGCAGTGAATTTTGTTCTTATAATGGAATAAAGGACAGCCAAATTGTATTAGATATTAATTTTCAGAGTCTTTGTCAGTAACAGCTGCCATCCATGTTAACAGAATCTGGATCTAATTATAAACATGTGGAGTGGTTGGAATACGTTCACAGTGACTATGTCTGATTAAATTAGAAATACATGTACTCTGACGCTCATAGTATGGACTGAATGCAATCAGTTGGTGTTAAGTACAGACAACTTATATATAAAGGGTTAACATATAGGGTTGAAGCGCTATAAATATCAATACAGGTATTTGAGTATACTCAGGAAAAGGTAGGGAGATTATACTAAAAGGGGAAAGGTATTGGCGGTCTGCCAAGGAAAGTCAGATGAAAAAAAGGGAGTACATGTAGCTAGTGTGAAAAAGGAGAGTGAGGATTGTTTCAAGCTGATAATAAAGAGATGCGTTTGCCGTGGTGAACAGATCAATGGAATCATTGAAAACAAGCTTCTGTCTACGTCCCATCAAATGATTTCATACATCAAATGTGGTCAATAAGGGCTACATGCTTGGTAGTCTTGTCAAGAATAACAGGCTGACAGTGTACTAGTCAGCAAGACCATCTCCCTCTCACCACAGACTAATGAGCATAATAGCCTTCATCCCCATGTACGTGGGCCCAGATTGCTTTCTGGTGGTGCTAAGTGCCATTACATTCCGTAGCGTTAGCGACTGTGAAACACCTATACTGGTCATTCTAACATTGACACTAGCCACTGTGATACACCTATACCGGTCTCTCTATCATAGACATTAGCCACTGTGATACACCTATACTGGTTTCTTTAACATTGACATTAGCCACTGTGATACACCTATACCGGTCTCTCTATCATTGACATTAGCCACTGTGATACACCTATATGGGTCTCTCTAACATTGACATTAACCACTGTGATACACCTATACCGGTCTATCTATCATTGACATTACCCACTGTGATACCCCTATCCCGGTCTCTCTATCATTGACATTAGCCACTGTGATGCACCTATACTGGTCTCGCTAACATTGACATTAGCACTGTGATACACCTATACTGGTCTCTCTAACATTGACACTAGCCACTGTGATAGACCTATACTGGTCTCTCTAACATTGACATCAGCCACTGGGATACACCTATACTGGTCTCTCTAACATTGACACCAGCCACTGTGATACACCTATACTGGTCTCTCTATCATTGACATTAGCCACTGTGATACACCTATACCGGTTTCTCTAACATTGACATTAGCCACTGTGATACACATTACATTCCGTAGCGTTAGCGACTGTGAAACACCTATACTGGTCATTCTAACATTGACACTAGCCACTGTGATACACCTATACGGGTCTCTCTAACATTGACATTACCCACTG